TGGCAAAGAAAATGTAAATCCCAAAAGTCCAGATAGTCTTTGTGGATATAATTTAATCATACAAATTCCTTGCTGTAATACGAGCAGGAAGTATTACTAGTTTAGACAACGTACTGCTATTCTGTACTTTCAGTATAGCGCAGAATTTTGGTCAAGTTAGTGATGATAGAATATCAGAACTTTCAGATAAGTTACTAATAACCCCCTCCTCCCACCAAGTGAATTTAAGTTCTAGATAGTGATGTCTTATTGAAGATTTTTCTCAACTGGCAACCGTATTCCAAACCTCTCTGCCTTGACAATTCTGAGCTCTATGAATTCTGTTTTTAGGAGAGTTCCCCCTCCTGAGTGCTGCTTCTCTCACAACAAGACAGTAAATACAGAAGAAATCGTATGCACTGGGACCCAAAATCTTTCTATCCTTGAAACATTTTTCATTATAGCAGAACCCATTCATTTATGGTGGATATTAAGCTTCTCAAGCCCTTTCTATTGAGTCTTTGGAAGACTAATAATTCTAATTGACTAGCTGCAGGGCTGGTGTCTCTGACTTAATGTTACATGAAATGATGACAGAGTAGTGCTTTTAAATGGGGCTCTCATGAATTGACTAGCAGGGAAGAGGGCTCTTCTAAAGGTACTTGCCTGTAACTGTGGAGATCATCCCTTTCAAAGAGCTACCTATGCTCCTGCCAGAGCTGCCCTCAGCAAGTGACCTGATAAAAGAGGATTATCCACAAGAGAGGTAGTCTTGAATATGAGATAATTAATAATGACCGAATCAATTCAAGTTGAACTGGGCAGTCAGTTGTGTAATGCCCAGGCTAGTTTGCACTGATTCTTTACAGATGAATAGTACTGACTCATGTATGATTTGTACATCTGAAACATTCTCTTGCTAGAAGGTTGATGCAGTGCTTTTTTTTTTTTTTTAACCAACACTAGAGTCCTCTTAGAGTGGCAGGGCACTCTTGATTGGTCAATAGGGCCATACTTAAATGCTTTTTAAAAATGTATGTTCCAGAAAGCAGAAGGTAATACAAGTAGTGGAGTAAACACTAGAGTCTGATCATTAGCTGTATTACCGTTGAGAAGTTCTCTTAACCTCTCTTAGTCTATTTCTTCTGGAAAATGAGGCAGTTTAAATAAATCTGTGTTTCCCAAATTCTGAAACCTACCACACAGATTACTAGAGGTGACTTTAGGTGGCATATGTGATAATGTCAGGTGGTTTTCTGATAAAACATTAAAATGAACATTGAATCTCATACCTGAGAGAGTTATTCCTTGTTCAGTCTTTCTGATTATATCAGTCTCAATTTGATATCAAGATATCTTTAATAGTTCTTTAACACTGGATAGTTGTTTGGGGATGGAGGTAGGCGGGGGCAGATACTGTGGATCGTTTATTCCTCAAAAATCTCTATAGAAGCGAAGTTAATTCCATTCCTTAGAAGGGAAAAGTACAGAAGTGCTTTTTCGCTCTGTCTACCTCATTTCACCTCTACTTGGAAGGAAAGTCCTGTGTTATACAACTGGTGAGTTAAGAGGAAGAACCAAACATGTGAGGTCAAGCCCTTTCTGGCTCATCTCATGGTGTGGCGCATTCTCAGAAGACACGCTCCTCCTCCACCATGTGCATAGAAGGCCTTTGTTGACAAACTCTGCTTAGGACTGGGTGGGAACTATTAGGAAACCCATGAGACCATCAATCCAGAACACAAAACTGTGTTCTCCAGTTCATCTTTATTGGTAATCAAGCTGATATTTTGATTGCCTTTTTATTCCTCTCTCTGCTTTTCATTTGGTTTCAAACTCATAGGAGATATAAAGGGAGAGGCAATTATCACCCCTTAAAACCTCACTAATAATCTTTTTTAATATAAATCTGACTTGAGGGCTTCCCTGGTGGCGCAGTGGTTGAGAGTCCGCCTGCCGATGCAGGGGACACGGGTTCGTGCCCCAGTCCGGGAGGATCCCACATGCCGCGGAGCGGCTGGGCCGTGAGCCATGGCCGCTGAGCCTGCGTGTCCAGAGCCTGTGCTCCGCAACAGGAGAGGCCACAACAGCGAGAGGCCCGCGTACCGCAAAAAAAAAAAAAAAATCTGACTTGAGCTCAGAGCTCTTTATAAGCAATAGTATCTGTATAGAGTTTAATAACATGGTTTGTTTTTAGTGAAGTTATATTTTTAATTACCATCTATAAAATAAATCAATTTACGTTTTAAAAAGTGAATTTTTAAAACATTAAATAGTGCAGATGGTATATGGATATGGGGAGAATTACAAAGGTGGTACTTAAATGACTGAAGTTTAGAAAACACTGAATAAGATTATCTCTAGGATCTCTTCCAGATTTAAATTCTTTTGAATGTATATTCCAATAGAATAAAAAATGTTATGTGGTAAACCAAGTAAAAGAAAAGACCTTCTAACATAGTGTGTACTATGTAATTATCTTTCATTTTGAAATGTATCATTATTGAGGAGGCTAAACTTTCATGCCGTGACAGTTTTTTTCATTTATAAATATGAATACCCCTTTCTTAATATTTTACTAGGCAGCTGAGTATCGCTATGTTTTGGGTAGCATGTTTGTTGGTGATGATGGTTTGTTTTATTTTGTTCGTTTTTCTTTCACCAAAAGCAGTCTAGTTCTGGGTGAGGTTTTTGAACTGGAAATCTTGACAGGCAGGAACCATGTCATCACTCTATACTCTGCCTAGTACAGAGTTTGACATAGTAGTATTCAGTAAATATTTGAATGAATGAATGAATAAAAGAGTCAATAAAAATAAACTGAGTTCTGTGTCTTGAAGGTACAAGCATAGTTTTCACTTCTGAAATGAAATAGTGAATAGGGCTAGCTGTACAGAAGTTTGAGGTCTTAGGACAATTAGAAGGTAATACTTTCACATGAATGAAGTTTGGAGCTAGTTACATGGAACATTTAGAATAACCTTTTCAGGAAGTAATCACAAAAAGAAGGTAGCCGTACTAATTTTGCTTTTGTTTATGGTTGTATATGAGAAGCTAGGATCTTTCTTTCTTTCCCTCTTTGTTTTTTATAAAAAAAAGAGCTACCTTTCTTCCATATTTTTTCCTCTCTCATACATGTACTACTTATCATCTCCACATCAGGGAAAGCACCCCAATTTTCCTTGCCTTAGGGAGACTATTAGAGATTAATTAAAAATGCAGCGCATTCTTTCCCCACACACTCTTAATTACAGTTTCTCATCTGATAAAGGGGCCCAACTCTTTCTTAACTGGCATGCTAGACAACTGAAATACTGGCGGTAAATTTGTTTATTCCCATTTATTCCCTCAACAAATGTCATGTTTCAAGGGCTTTGTTCTAAGACTCCTGAAATGAGTTTTATATATCAGAGAGAGAGAGAATATTAACCAGAAGTTTTTAATTCTTAGTTATACTGACTTTCTAATAACTATGCAATTGGTTTGAGTGATCACATACCCAGATCATGTAATTTATTTAAAAATACTTTCATATATGTAGAAAAACAGAATTTAAGGACTGTGTTTCATTCTGGTGGATACATTTTAAACATAATCTAGGTCTGTTCTCTACAAGTACATTCTTCCTTTGACAGTCCAGTGTTTAACTGTGATTCTAATTTATTATGCACAATGACAACATCTTACCTGGAGTTATTTTGTATGTATGTTCAGGTTAATACTTTTTGTTATTGAAAATTTAAGTCAGTACGTTTTACATTTGTGAAATCTTTCTGCCTGATATCTTTGTGTTTTCTAGTTATTACTATGTGGTCTTTAGTATGTGACGTAAACTCTAAGGATGCTGTCTATCACATTTTGGTTTGTTCTCATTGCATTATAAAGTTGATAGAACAGCAGTAACATTAATGGTATATAGAAGTTGGGTTTTTAAACCAGTCGTCATCTACAGAAATTCTCTATCTCTGTTCTAACTTTAAATTTAAAATATCCAGGTAAACAATCAACACAGATTCTATTCATCATCATTGAGAATATAATAGGTCTAATTTTGGCCAAGAAAAAAAAAATACTTCAGAACTATCAAATTTTTTTCTTCAAAAGAGAGAGATGCTTGCCTTAAAATTGTGATCTTTAGATATCTCTAGAGTCATTGTGGTCTGTCATGAAACTATGCAAGAGCCATTTGCTATAATGGCAAGCTGGCAGTTTTGAGAACACTATGTCTAATTCAAAAACAACAATTATAGGTTCCACATATAAGTGATATCATACAATATTTGTCCTTCTCTGAACAGCAGAAGTAACACAACATTGTAAATCAACTGTACTCCAATAAAAATTTTTAAAAAACAATTATAAAACACAGAACCTTTGCCTAGGGAGCCATGTCCACTGGCGATATGGTTATTCTCTGATGAGATGCTTTGAGTGCCGGATACCTTTCTTTTTTTTTTTTTTATCTTTATTGGATTATAATTGCTTTACAATGTTGTATTAGTTTCTGCTGTACAACAAAGTGAATCAGCTATATGTATACATATATCCCCTCCCTCTTGAGCCTCCCTCCCACCCTCCCCATCCCACCCCTCTATTACTCAGCCATAAAAAGGAACGAAATTGAGTCATTTGTAGTGATGTGGATGGACCTAGGGTCTGTCATACAGAGTGAAGTAAGTCAGAAAGAGAAAAAAGAGTACCATATATTAACGTATATATATGGAATCTAGAAAAATGGATACCATTGTTATCTGGGGTATGAAGTGTTGATATGGCAGCACATTATGATAGAAAAGAAAAGGCCATGAACTTGAGGGGCAGACCAACCTGAATGTGAAATTCAGCTCTGTCACTTTTACTCTGGTATCTAGGGCAAGTTACTTAACTTCCTCTGTAAAATGAAAATTATAATACTTCTTTAGAGTTTCTGTGAAGATAAAAGCACCCAGAGTGAGTTCTTGTCAAATGGTAGTTGTACAAGGAATACAATGTGGTGATGATACGTTTTGATATTCCCTCAGGTGAAGTAAAGGACAAAAACGTTCAGGTGGTTGAGCTCCCCATTGTAGACAGTCTTCATCCTCGTCCTCCATATTTACCCCTGGCTGTACCAGAAGACCTTGCAGATCGACTTGTACGAGTCCATGGTGATCCTGCAGTGTGGTGGGTGTCCCAGTTTGTCAAATACTTGATCCGCCCACAACCTTGGCTGGAAAAAGAAATAGAAGAGGCCACCAGGAAGCTAGGCTTCAAACATCCAGTTATTGGGTAAGAACCTGATTTGTTCCTCCTAAAAGGGATATGTAGTAGCAGGGATACATACCTTTACAATACAGTGTGAACTTTACAAGATATAGTGTGATTTTCATAGACCCACCCAAAAACAGAGGTTCCAGAGTTCACCTTAGGCCACAGGGAGATTATTCTTCCTTTGTTCATTTAGAACAGCTGAGTCATCATAATTTAGTCACCCTTAATCATTTGTTCATTTATTCATTCAACAAATATATAAAACCATATTTCTGAAATTAACAGTCTCTCCTGGGGAAACCAGCAAAATCTTATTTTGTTGGGAGTATTTTAGATGCTATACATGACTCCTGTCTTACTCCTGTCATGACTCCTGTCATGACTCCTGTCTTACTCTAACAGGGTTACGAGATGAAGCTCTCATACTTATAGCTTTTCTATTGCACCTTATTCTTGGATTTCATTAATTGCCACTGGTGATTCTTTTGCATTTTTGATGTTCTGTTTTCTTTTTTGTTTTGAAAGCTACTTTGAGAATAAAGATATCATTAGTAATGTAAGATAATGTTAAAATTATTGTTTAAAGTTATCTCTTGGCCCACTTGGGAGTTATCATGTATATATGTACAGTCTCATGCTTATGTTAAGGGAGATATATCAGGAAATCCTGGAAGCAAAAAAAATCCAAAAGAGCATCTTTGCTCACAAGCATGTGCTCCTATACCCATACATAAAAAGTTGTGGAGTAAGGAGTTTTCCTGGGTCCTGATGCCAGATTTCACACCACGAGAAATGTTCTTGGCCTAATGGGAAGAATACTAGACTGAGAGGTAAGTGACCTCAGTAATATTCCTGGATTTTCCCTAATTCTGGGCCAAGTTACTTAATAATAGTATTATTGAGCTTTGATTTTTTTTCCATCTGTAAAATAGGGAAGGCAATACCTGCCCTAAAAATGATGATGTGATAATATAAGGGTGAAAAAGGATTTTAGTTCTGTGGGAAAAAATACACTGTAAAATATTATTACCTTTCAGAGAGACTGATGATGCTTAAGTTATTCCTGAAAATAGATTTGTAGGCTAGACTATGGCATTCTGCAGCTTCTATTGTTTGTAATAAAGTCAGCTATTGGTTAATATTAATACATGTGTTGATTCATTCACTTATCTGCAGAATGTTTATTGAATACTTGCTACTGTGGGGGATAGAGGTTAAATTTTTTTTAATGGATCCTTCTAACTCCTCACAGTCCATGGGAAAAGAGACTTACACAACTAACATTATATGAGCAGAATGTGATAAATGCCCTGAGAGAAAGCATAAAAAGTTTTATGAGAGGTCGAGGGAGGGGAAATGCACTTCCATTTCCCAAGAAAGGACCAAGAAGGGCTTCATAGCTGCAGTGTTTGAACAGGATCTTGGAAGATGGAGAAAGATACATTATAGTAGTTACATTACCAAAGTAACTTCAACTGCATTATCCCATTGATTCTGTAACACAATCCTGTGATGTGGGCAGAGATAACCATTTTACAGGTGAGGAAACTAAGGAAAGAAAATCTCTTCCCAAAGTTCCAGGGTTTATAAAGGCAAAACCAGGACTTACACCTGCTTAACTTTGTCTGGACTTCCTGTCGTTTTACATACCAGAAAGCTACCCTTATTAATTTTTCATGGAGTATCCACCACATTGAGAATTGGCCAAATATAGAAACTTGAAGTACCGCAGACAGCTAAGTTATTTGCACACTTAAGTAGTGTGCTGTAATGAAAGAGGGGTGCATTAGAGTTCAAGAATCTGGGGGTCCAATCTGGCTTCCACCACCAACAAGTTGTGTGACTTTGGACAACTTACTTGGTCATTCTGGGCCTTCATTAATTGTCACTCTTTTTTCATTTATTAAAACAAAACAAAACAAAACAAAATGCTAGGTTAGATAGTAGTATCTAAGGTTTCTACTTACACAATACTAAACAGTTAGATTTTTGTCTGCCCATCATCCATTCATTCATTCATTTGTTGTGTTTGGTGCAATTGGGAATAAATAAAACCAGATTCCTTGCCCTGGAGGAGCTTTGATAGATAGTGAAAATCAGGCAAGTACACAAATAACTTTTACTTTTGTAAAGACTGGGTTAAAATGTATGTGAAAGAAACCAGCCTCCCTTTGCCTTATATTGTCATTTTGTTCCCTGAAATATCTTCAGAGACATCAGTTTCTTTAACTGTCAGATGAAAGAGTTACATTAAACCAAATGACTTCTAATATCCTTCACAGGCCTAACATTCTGATTCTTCCATAAAAATTCCATTAAGGTCCTCTCTCAAATTATTGGTCCAGACCTAATTTCAGGAATACTTGGAAAATTGAGAAAATTGCTTAGTAGTACTCTGCCACTATGTCAAGTGCTACTCTTCCTTTGATTTTTCCTTCTTGTTATAGCTCTCCTTTGTTTTTATCTTTATTTTCATACTCCTACCCCGTTTCTTCCCTGTTTCTTAGTCTGCATATGTATAGAAGTTACTGACCCCTGTTCTAAATAGTAGAGCTAAAACAAGAACACAGTAAAATCAGAGTTTCAAATAGTGTTTCTTCTCATGAAACTTTTCATTGAAATTCAGTGGAATTGTTCTTTCTGCCCTATCTCATCTCCATGGAGCACAGTGAACAATTCCAAATTTCCTGAGAGAACCAGTGACTAAGAAGAACGTGGGAAGGAAAAGATGATACGATAGGTGTTCATACAATAGTGTTCACATCTGGACTATCAGCTGAAATGCAAAGGAAAGAACAGCCACGATGTCAGAGTAACTCCAGTGAAGTTAAACCCTCACTCCAGATACATAATAAAAAGCTGGCCCTAGGCTTGACTTAAGACACGCCCACATATTGTGACCTAAAGGAAACAAATCTACCTTTTTTCTTTTCCAACTTATGAATAGTGGTTTAGTAATTTGGGAAGAGGGGAGATGTGGGAAGAGCAAATTTAAGTAGTGTTTTTACTTATGAAAACAAACTCTAACTATTGTTCCTGTTTTCATTAAAATACTGTTGGAAGTCAATGCCTTTATTCAGTGCAGGACAATGTAAATCTGTGTCCCCAGTTTTACAGTTTTGGAGCTTTCCTTAAATAGGACAGATGAGATCAGTATCTGCTTGTGTTTGATAGAGTAAAAAGCCGGGAAAGGAAATTCATTATGCCTACAACAAAAAGGCTGGCATGGCTCCATGAACTTAAAATAGTAAGAACTCTTAAAAGGTTTGCCTTGCCTTGATTGTGCTATAGGAAGAATCCATACAGGTCTGAGTTTTCCTTGCACAACTTTAAATTCAACAAGCTGGCATTACAGTGACAGTACAGGATAAAAAGAAGAAAAAGAAAACTTGGCATCAAAACATTACAAATGATATATTTAATGTTCCATAATAACAACTGTGAATCTTGGCATCCTTTATTGTCAAATATATTAAAAATTATATCCAGTTTTTTCTGTAAGGCTGGTTGGTATTTGCTGCCTTATATGCCATCTAATTCTGGAATCTCCCATTTATTCCTTATTATGCCAATTACCTTCTCTTTATAAGAAAGCATTCTTCAAAGACTTAACTTATTTTTTCTAATTCCCCTTGTATTAATATGCCAATATATTTAGAATGTATGTGTTTGAATTTTTTTAAGTATTGGTTTTATTTTTTCTAATGGTGAAAATGAAAGAAAAATTGGTTTAAAATGTCCATAATGCCACCATGAATAGGGGTATAAAGCTGAGTACCCTAAAAGTACTCAGTGGATCAGAACATTATCAGCAGAATCTGACTTCCTCCCTCTGCCCCCGCAGAGTCCATGTCAGACGCACAGACAAAGTGGGAACAGAAGCAGCCTTCCACCCCATTGAGGAATACATGGTACATGTTGAAGAACATTTTCAGCTTCTTGCTCGCAGAATGCAAGTGGATAAAAAAAGAGTATATTTGGCCACAGATGACCCTTCTTTATTAAAGGAGGCAAAAACAAAGTAAGTTAGATGAACTAATGATTCTAGAGTGAACCATCTCTTTTCAGTTGAAAGGAATCCTTAATTCCCATGACTTGTGATTCTTGTTACAATGAATGTTATTACTGATTATTGGGGGTTTTAAATTCAAACAACTGTGTACTTGTGCAACTGTTATTATGATCAAAGCATATGCGAGGTGCCAGCAAGGTGTAGATTTCATTCTGAAACCCCTTCTCTTGACTTGTAGGCAGCAGTCATCTCACTATATACTCACATGACCTTTATGTGCTTGGAAGGGAGAGAGCAAGCTTAATGGTGTCTCTTCTTGTAAGGAAGGGCACTAATTCCATCATGAGGGTCCTACCCTCATGACCTTATTTAACCCTAAGTACCTCCCAAAGGCCCCACCTCAAAATATTATCACATTGGGGGTTAGGGCTTAAACATATGAATTCTGGGGGGACACAAACATTTAGTCCATCATACTAACCAACTCAAAAGACTGTTAGCAATAAAACACACCAGGTAGGTGCTTGCCCTTTTGCTCTTACTATCTTCACCAACAATCACAGGCAACTGAAACCATGTGTAAGATGTAAGTTTTCATCTTATAAAAATTTCTGGAATTTGGAAATTATATTTTTTAAAAAGGCAAAAAATCAAAAGATGAGTTTTGTAAGTGAAATAATAAGGACTGCCAACTTGTACTGAGCTGTATTGAGCCCGCCTGCCTGTATTTCAGGCACTGTGCTAGGTGGTGGGGATTCCATGATAAGCAAGACACTCTGCTCTCAAGGAATTCCCAATCTAGTAGGGGAATGGACAGTTACAATACAGTATGAGTAGTGCTACTATAGAGTAATACCATCTACTCCAGAAATCATCCCTGAATCCTTGACTAAGTGGTTCTCCTCTGTGCATTCCTCTTAGTATTTAGCACTTGCTTACTTCTGTCTCCCTCACTAGGTTATAAGCACTTTAGAAACTATACCTAGTTCTAGTAAGTGCCCAGTAAGTATTGAATTATGTTCATTTCAGTCCTATCTGTTTGAAAACATTTTATTAGCAGTTATCATTTGACCTTTTTGACTTTTAATTAATTTATTTCTCAATCCCTCTTTTATGTCACAAATGGGGGTTGGGAAGAAAAACAAATCTGGAATGAATACTATAATGCAGGTATTTATCCATATCATTAGATAATCATTTAAACCCTATTTCTACCTCTTAAGGATCTAAATTAACCTGATATAAATTGCTTTTTCTTTAAGGCTCCCTCTATTGATTATACACACAGACACTCTCTCTCTCTCTCTCTCACACACACACACACACACACACACACACACACACACACGCAGGTGAGCGTGCACACAGACAAACAAACAAAAGACCAAGAAATTCATCAGCCAAACATAAGCCAAGTTATATAGTTATAATTCTTGTTTAAGTATAAGAGTTAGAGATTAAATGAACATTTGGACATAAAACAAGAAAAAGTTTTCACAAATATTTTTCCAGTTTGATATTACAGACCTATTAGAGAGAAACAAAGTAGAAATAGTTCATCTTAGTCCTTCATTTTTAAATATCAGACTGAATTTGTAGCTTAGTTGAAAAAATGTTAAAGTATTACTTTATTTACTCTTTGACTTGTTCTTGAATGCATCATAAGTTTTTCCCTTGACTGGCAAAATAATTCATGCTCATTAGAAAATATGGAGTTGGTAAGTATACAAGCAAGGAAAAAAATATTACCCACAGTCTCATTACTCAGTGGCAACAACTATTTAAATATCAACATATTCCCTTCAGTCATTTATGTAGTTATACATTTGTGTAGTTTATCATATACTATATAATTTGAACTCTTTTTTTACTTAATACAGCACTAGATCCCTTTTCCCAGGTTGCTAAAAAAAGTCATTGTAAATCTCTTTTTTTAGTGACTACATATCCACTGAATGGAAATGCCATTGCTTACTTGACCATTCTCTTAATATTCGACAGGTTATTTCCAATTTCCAGTGCTATGAGGTATGCCTGAAATTATCCATATTATTTCCTTAATCTAGATTTCTGGACTTGGAAGTATTTAGATAAAAGGATATGAATATTTTACAGCAGTGATCCATAGCACAGCATGATATTTTTACACCAAGCAACCCTTATAGTACAGATGGCAGTAGTATCTACTTGGATTGTAAGAACTGTAAAGCTTGATTTTTTCTTTTGTGTATGTGTGTGTGTGTGGTCAGAAGCTAGTAACTCCTCTCCCCATGGTATTCCAGGCTATAAATGTAGCAATAGCATTTTGTTATAAATGTAGCAATAGCATTTTGTGCATATTTTTTTCCTCTTTGGAAATTCTTTGGTTTTCTGAGTCATTTTAAGGATTTTCTCAGGAATTTAAATACCGTTTTTCTCCTTCATTATTTTACTTAAAAGTTTTTTCCACTCTGAATTAATTCTGCTTTTGACCTCTCAGGATTGGTTTTGATACCTAAGCAAATCATAAAACTTCTGTTATTGTTTTAGGAAACCAAAGCATGAATTAATTTTTCAACAAGGTATATAGAATCCAAGGTGATTATAAGACTTTTCTGCTTCAAGAGGGTGAAGAGATGGAGAATTAAACTTAAATGAGGCATAGTATTCGTACAGTTAGAGAAGAAACCATTTTTCTGACTAGCTTATTCTTTGTAAAAGGGGTCAAGATTAGTAGTTAATGCTTTGTTGCTTAGTATTACACCTCAGGTCTCTCTAGATTAAGACTGAGTTCATTCACGAGATTTTAGCACCAGCATCCTAGTGACTGTGACAGCTGCTGATAATGTGGAGATCTCTCTCTTAGGTAATTCACTGTTAGAGTGTTTAAATCACAGAATCTTTGGCAAAGAAGTAAGAACTATTAAAGTTGTCTATCCAGCATTGTATTCTAAGATAGTGGAGACTGAGTTTAGGAGTGAAACAGGAGAAAAAACAAGCCATTAAAAATCTCTCAGATTAAATATTTACATATTTAGTTTGCTCTTTATCAAAAATGCTGGACAAGCTCTTCCTAAAATTAGGTTCATTTAAATGAATAGAGGTAAGGAAATTTGTTTAAAAGTTGTTGTAAAGCATTTGGTTGCCATGTGAAATGAAGAATCAGCAATAGTGGTAAAGTTCTTCACTATTTTTTTGAACTACATCTAATATGCTAGACAGTTACAGGGCATTAGGAATACACAAAGAAATAAAAGATAATATGTGGCTCCTTATCTCAGGGCGTATCCAACTGGTAGGCGGTATACGGGTAACAAATAATCAGTGTCATTATATAATTGTCCTGAAGGAGTTGTATACTAGGTAGTGAAGTCAAGAAGAGGAGTATCGCCCTGTCTGGAGAAAGACCTCACAAAAGAAAATTTGATGTTAGTTTATACTTTCAAGTTACAACTTTGTGGGTGAGATAAAAAATAAATTTTTGCAAGATGGAAGAAGAAAAAAATATTTTTTTTAATCATTGCCAATCTCTGCAGCCTCACAGTGGAAGACTTCTGCTGGCATACTTGTAGGCCTAAGACAAGAAAGAAGCATGTTTGTGTGGAAAGTTTCATGCTCATTATTGGAAGTACAAAATCTCCTTCCCTCATTATTCACTTTGTTTCTGTTTTTCAACACTCAGTATCCTTCATCAAACTATCTTTTGCATATAGAGATAAGGCCTGAGGAACTTAGGTGACCTTTTGGTTTGGTTCCAGGAAGAGACCTTTAAGTTAGGAAGGGCATAATGTTCCCATCACTTCTCAGTAAAAGGATCCCTCTTGTGTTTGTTTCACTGAGCACCCAAACCATGCTGACAGAGTTAGTCTTTATTCTAGGATAAAACCTGTACTGGTGTGTTTTAACGATTTCCCCCCTCCTCCACCCTCCAGCCTTTTCATATTTATTTGTTTCTGTTTCTGTCCCATGACTGGATCTGCATCTTCAAAGGAATCACATTAAAAGTTTTTCTGGTGGTTTTCTTTTCAGAACAAATGTGACATTTCCTTCACCTCCCTGATTCAAAGTTGAGGAGGGCAAAATGTCAAAAATAATGAGGCCAAATGGATCTGAACACTGAATACCAATCACTGAAACAGTGCTCAGAGACTTTTTCTTCACAGTCATTACTAGAGGCTATGAGAGAAAACGCCTTGGAGGTTGTGGAATGAAGAGAAATCTGAAGCAGCTGTTAGGGAATTAGGAAAACGTCCCAGACATAGGTAGCACTAACTTGTTCATGTATTCATCCACATAGCATTGTGTGGAGTGCTAGATGCTGTGATGCAAAGGAAAATAAGGCATAGTCCTAACCTTTGGGAAATACTGTGTGGGAAAAAGACATGTAAGCTGACTCCTGCTGCCTCAGGGCTTATAAATAGGAACTATTATTCTTTCAACAAATATTTGTTGACCTTGTATTATATTCCAGATTCTCTTCTAGGTGCTGAGAATAATAGAGTGAACAAAGCAGATGAAATACCTCTCTTTATAGAGCTTACATTCTAGATAGGGATGATGGAGGTGGGGAATGAATGCAGACAGTAAATAAACAGTAAATATATATTATGTTCAGTGATAGTAAGAGCCATAGAGAAAAATTAAGCAAGTAAAAGGGATAGGGATTGCCAAAATCCTCACTAATAAGGCAGCATTTGAGCAGAGATCTAAGAGGGAAGTAAGAGATAAAACCAGGTGAATATATGGGGAAAGAATGTTTAACAATCACAGTTAATGATTTATTGAGCATTTACTACATGTCAGATACTCTTCTAAGCACTTTACATTGCTTAATTTATTTAATTCTTAAAACATTATATAAAGTAGGTACAATGACTATCCCCTTTGCATGTAACTTCTGAAAGTTTACAACTTAGCTCTGATCTGTCTCATGCACTGAGAAAATTTATTCACTCTATACTAGAGTATAATTAAACCTCTAATTCAGAGTAGAATCATTTGAACATATAGTAGACTTTTTAAACACATCCTGTTTTAATATTTTTTAACACATATCTTCTCAGGACTACCACAATATTAGTTGGTGGACATCTACAAGGAATTTGCTTTCATAAATTTATTAGAATGGTTTTCTGTCACCATTATTTGTTAAGATGGTGCTTATGGGGGTTAAGGGAGACAAGTCTCAGTTATCACAAATTCTAAACTAAAAGTTTAAATGAAGTTTAATCATGATGTTTATATTCTAAAGGAAAAGCTCAGTGACCAAATTTGAAAGCAGGTTGGAGCCTCCTAGAGAGGTAGGAGGCAACTGGGACTCCCCCTGGGGACACATATACTGGCAGCAGGCAGTGGGAAGCTCATTCTACCACAGGGACCCTGGTTCTGGCAAACAACATTTTGGAGTCCTCCTTCTAGCCTATTAGAACCAGGGGCTTACATGCCCACTAGTTGATTAGCACCAGTACTAGGATCCCCAAACCCCACAGCCAGCCATACTGGGACCCAGCACTGCCCACCAGCAACACAAGACCAACCCTAGGACTTGCAGGCCTGCAACCAGGCACACCAGGACCCAGCCCAAGCCACCAGTGGACTGGCACTGGCCCTGGGACTTCCCAGGCCATGTAGCCAGCTGTGTCAGGACCCAGACCCATCTACCAACGGCTAGCAGCCTCCACATGAGGCAGGACCTGGCAGCCAACCGGGATGAGAACTAGCCCTACCTACCAGCATGCCCACAGTAGTTGACCCCACCACAACAGAAGTGCCCGCATACTCAGCCCGCATACAAGGCACCCTTAGCTCTGGTGACCAGAGGGGAGTATGTAGCTGGGCCCCATAGGACATCTCTTACATAAGGTCACTTCTCCAAGAACGAGAAACATAACTGACTTGCCTAATACATACAAATAAACACAGAGAATTAGGCAAAATGAGGTGACAAAGGAACATGTTTCAAATGAAGAAACAAACCCCAGAAGGAGAGCTAAGCAAAGTGATGAGCAGTCTACCCAAGAAAGGGTTCAAGGTAATGATCATAAAGATGCTGAATGAACTCGGGAGAAAAATTGATGAACACAGTGGCAGACTTAACAAAGAGAAAGGGTAAAGAAGAACCAAACAGAGCTGAAGAATGCAATAATTAATCATTGAAGTAAAAAATACCCTAGAAGGGATCAACAGTAGATTAAATGATGCAGAAGAACAGATCAACAAACTGGAAGACAGAGTAGTGGAAATCACCCAAGCTGAACAAAAAAAAGAGAAGAATTTAAAAAGTGAGGACAGTTTAAGAGACCTCTGGGACAACAAAAGCATACCAACATTTACATTATAGGGATCTCATAGGGAAAAGAGAGACAGAAATGGGTAGGGAACTTATTTAAAACAAGAATAGCCAAAAATTTCCCTAACCTGGGAAAGGAAACAGACATCCAGGTCCAGGAAGCACAGAAAGTTCCGAACAAGATCAACCCAAAGAGGTCTACACCAAGACACATTGTAATTAAAATGACAAAAAATAAAGATAAAGAGAGAATCTTAAAAGCAGCAAGAGAAAAGCAACTGGTTACGTACAAGGGAACTCCCATAAGACTGTCAGTAGACTTTTCAGCAGAAACTTTGCAGGTCAGAAGAGAGTGGCATGATATGTTCAAAGTGATGAAAGGAAAAAACCTACAACCAAGAATACTTTACCCCACAAGGCTACCATTCAAATTTGAAAGAGAGAGAAAGAGTTTTACAGACAAGCAAAAGCTAAAATTGTTCAGCACCACTAAACAGGCTTTACAAGAAATGTTACAGGGACTTCCCTAAGCATAAAAGAAAAGACCACAACTAGAAATATGAAAATTATGAAAGGAAAAATCTCATTGGTAAAAGCAAGCATACAGTAAAGGTAGTAGATCAGCCACTTGTAAAGCTAGTAGGAAACTTGAAAGATAAGTAGTAAATTATCTATATCCACAATACGTGGTTAAGGAATACACAAAACAAAAAGATGTAAAATATGATATCAAAAAACATTAAATGTGGGCAGGGGAAGGCAGGAATAAAAACTGTGGAGTTGTTAGAATGTGTTCGAACTTGAGATCCACTTGAAATAATTATACACACACACACAACCCACCCTTACACCTCTAGGAACTAGAAAAAGAAGAGCAAAGCCCAAAATTAGTAGAAGGAAAGAAATGATAAACATCAGAGCAGAAATAAGTGAAATAGACACTTAAAACAATAGAAAAGATCAATGAAACTAAGAGCTGTTTCTTTGAAAAGGTAAACAAATTGATAAACATTTAGCCAGACTCATCAAGAAAAAAGAGAGAGGACCCAAATGAATAAAATCAGAAATGAAAAAAGAGATGTTACAGCCAACACCACAGAAATCAAAGGATCAAAAGGGATTACTGCAAACAAGTATATGTGAGTAAATGGACAACCTAGAAGAAATGGATAAATTCCTAGAAAATTTCAGTCTCCCAAGACTAAATTAGGAAGAAATATTAATAAACCAATTACCAGTAATGGAGTTGAATCAAGATTGATCAAAAAACTTCCAACAAAAATCCAGGACCAGATGGCTTCACAGGTGAATTTTATAAAATATTTAAAGAAGAGTTAATGCCTATGCTTCTCAAACTATTCCAAAAAATTGAAGAAGGAACAATTCTGAACTCATTCTACAAGGCCAACATCACCCCAATTCCAAAACCAGACAAAGATGCCACAAAAAGAGAAACTTACAGGCTGATATCATTGATGAGATACAAAAATCCTTAACAAAATACTAGCAAACCGAATCCAGCAGTACATTAAAAGGATCATATACCATGATCAAGTAGATGCAAGGGTAGTTCAATATTTGCAAATCAATCAATGTGATAGACCACATTAACAAAACAAAGGGTAGAAATCATATGATCATCTCAATAGTTGCAGAAGAAGCTTTTGACAAAATTCTATATTCATTTATAATAAAACTCTCAACTAAGTGGGTGTAGAGGAAACATACCTCAACATAACAAAGGCCATAAGATATCACAGACTAACAGCTAACATAATACTCAACCATGAAAAGCTGAAAGCTTTTCCTCTAAGATCAGGAAGAAGACAAAGATGCCCAGTCTCACCACTTTTATTCAACATGGTATTGAAAGTCCTAGCCACAGCAACCAAAAGTTAAGAGACTAAATCCTAAGAGTTTTCATCACAAGGAAAATTTTTTTTCCTGTTTTAAAAATTTTGTCTGTAATGAGATGATGGAAGTTCACTAAACTTATTGTGGTAACCATTTCATGATGTGTGTAAGTTAGATCATTGTGCCTTAAACTTATACAGTGCTGTATGTCAATTATATCTCAATCGGGACTTCTCTGGTGGTCTAGTGGTAAAGAATCCACCTTACAATGCAGGGGACGCGGGTTCAATCCCTGGTCAGGGGACTGGGATCCCACATGACGTGGGGCAACTAGGCCTACACGCCATAACTACTGAGCTCGTGTGCCTCAGCTAGAGAACCCACGTGCTGCAAACTACAGAGCCCATGTGCTCTGGAACCCGCACGCCACAACTACAGAGCCCACGCGCTCTGGAGACTGTAGGCCACAACTAGAGAGAAGTCTGTGCACCACAACGAAAGATCCCATATGCCTCAGCGAAGATCCCGCATGCCATAACTAACACCTGATGCAACCAAAAACAAATAAAATAATAGATCTTTTAAAAACTTATACCTCAGTAAAACTGGAAGAAGCAAAAGCAATGTTTGAGTTATATTTTAATAAAGATATATGCTTAAGGATAAAAGTGGGAAAGGAATGCATAAAATGAAAATGTGTCTGTGTGAAAAAAATATGAAAGCAGGTTGAAAAACCTCTTCAAGGTCACTTATTACAATGAAAATAAAGAGCTTTCTGTTTTCAATTCTTTCATGCATTGAAAGGGACATTCTGGTGCATATGTGTATTTTATGTCATGCCAATAACTTTTAACATACAGGACACCCCAGAACGGTTTCTGCCCCATCAATGGATTCAAAGATGCTTTGTCAGCTACTCTATTGAATGCCAGAATTAAAGCTTTCCTTACTGTCAGAAAGAGGGGGACTCTTGGTTAAAGGAGCTGGCTACCTCCTGCTGATAGGATACTATTTCCAGAGACAGAATTCTATGATTTCAGTGAGTTTGTATAAATTTATTTCTTTTTTCAGGTACCCCAGTTATGAATTTATTAGTGATAACTCTATCTCTTGGTCAGCCGGACTACATAATCGATACACAGAAAATTCACTTCGAGGTGTGATCCTGGATATACACTTTCTCTCCCAGGCAGACTTCCTAGTGTGTACTTTTTCATCCCAGGTAAGCATTTTTAAGTGATCAATACTCTTTGGTTATATTGAGTCAGAAAGTTCTTGGATTTTTAAAAAATGTTAGTTTTCATGACTCAGGTACAATGTTTTTAATATTGGGGAATGATCCCTTTTGTGAAAGAATGAGAAGATTCCAGAAAACATAGCTATTTGAGTGCACTGAATATTGAATTGTTTGCAAGCAGTTGTTGAATACATCTCTACTGAAGCCAGCTACGGGGGTTGTTTAAAGTACTTGGCTTATTCACAGCATTTAACAGAAACAGCAAGTAATTAAGTTTACTTAATACTTGCTGATTTTGCATACAATCAGTACGTAACCAGAGCCCATCCATTTCTACACATCAGTGCACTGATACTGAGAGGCTTAAATGCTCAGCATTTTGCCTCACTTGATTGCTTTATAGAAAATAAGAAAGAGTAAATGTAATTCCTCTTTCAGGTCCTTTTAACATTTCTACCAAGCAAGAAACTGTACATTATATTTAAGCAATACCATATTATAATCATTCTTTGAGTTTATTGTTATAGATATTTAATATGTTGTTAGTTTGGTGTGTGTGTTTTTATGAGTGCTCCAATCAGCCTTATATGCCCAGTGGAATATCAGCATAGAAAGATTTATTGTGGATTTTATTCAACTGTCTCATTTATGTGCATATTATTGGTTAGTTTGTTCAACACGCTGTTAAATGATTGTTTGTGCTCAGACCTATACTAGGTGTAGAGGGAATTTCAAAGGAGATCGAAGATACAGCTCTTACCCTGGTCTAGAATCTAGTGAGCAAAATATCCACATGAAATAACCAGAGAATAATTACAAAGAAATATAAGCCATGTAAGATAAATATACGCCTGAAAGCTTAGAAGAAGCAGAGAAAAGAAAGTGTGAAAAGGAAAGACACATCATTTACATGGGAATATACTGCAGAGAGTATTAAGAAATGGACAGTTTTTTATTACGTGACAGTGCACACTGTCACAATGGTATGGTGATATGATTGTTGGAAAGATACTTATCCCAGCAAAGCCTGTATGAGTTCCTTCAATGTGGCATAAGAATACAACTTAAGACGCAAAGACAGCTGCACAGAACAGGAGTCACATGGCAGCAGTCCTCATCAGAGGGAAAACATGAAGGCAACCATAGCTGATATTCTCCCTAATTGGGGTGAGGATCCTATCTTTGAGAAGGGGGTGGGATGGGGGGAGGAGTTGTAACTACCTAGTCCCTCTCAACTGCTTTTGAGAATCTGGCTATGGGCCTACATGATCAACAGGTGCAAATAACACATTTTCGAATGCTTCTTGTTAGAATGATTGAATCAAGAGTCACTTTCCCAGATGTACCACCTCCTCTGTAGGTCTAGATTTTAGGCCTTCCTAAAGTCTATTCCTTTAGTCCAGGGTTTCTCAACCTGGCACCGTTGGCATTTGGGGCTGGATAAGTTGCTGTGAGGTGCTGTCTTGTGCATTATAGGATGCTTAGCAGCGTCCGTGGCCAGTAGACCCTCACCTCAAGTTGTGACAGCCAACAGTGTCTCCAGACATTGCCACATGTCCCGGGTGGGGGGAGTGGAAGGGCAAAATCACCCTTGTGAGAACCACTGCTCTAGTTATAAAGCTCTAAAAGTAAATAAATATATACATGTCTAAACATTTACTAGCCTTACATGGAGGTAGACACTGAGACTTACAAGGACGTGCTCTATGTTTTGCTTTCCTTTGTCCAGCTCTCCTTAATAATGCCATTAGACTCATTCTGGAAAGAAAATCTTTTGTTTATTTCCCTTTTCAAGGATGTTTTGTAGAATTTTTGATCCTCATAGCCTCATAAGTCTAGTTTTGACCCAGAAGTCAGGACCTCTGTCACTTCATGATACTGGAAACCTGTCCAGGTTTGAAGAGCATATTGTTCACACTACTTTGTTCTATTTTATGCATAATATCAACCTCTGTGTCTTCTTCAGACCTCAGATCCAGAGAAACAGTTTATATGAAGAAAGCGTAGTAATGAGAGGTCTGGTTGTATCCAAAGGAATAAGATTTGTGATTATATATTGTTCCTAAAAACTCTTGGCAAGTCAAGGTTCATCCAAAATAACTCTGATCGTTTAAACCAATATTTTGTGTCCCAAGATAGACTTGAATACCTCAAAACATGTTAGGGCTCAGAATAAAAGTTTAACAGTAAAAAATACCTTACATTTATATAGTGAGTAGCAGTTTGCTAAATGTGATCACCTCCTTTCTTGGTGACTAACAGCTGTAGCATTTGAGACTGTGGAATAATTCCACATTCAGTGATTAATCTTTGGGCTTCCTTGCACCCCGGTTTTTTTTGGTTTTTTGGTTTTTTTGGCTGCGTTGGGTCTTCATTGCTGCGTGCGGGCTTTCTCTAGTTGCGACGAGCAGGGTCTACTCTTTGTTGCAGTGCACAGGCTTCTCATTGCAGTGACTTCTCTAGTTGCAGAGCATGGGCTCTAGGCACGCAGGCTTCAGTAGCTGTGGCACGTGGGCTCAGTAGTTGTGGTGTGTGGGCTTAGTTGCTCCACGGCATATAAGATCTTCCCAGACCAGGACTCGAACCCGTGTCCCCTGCATTGGCAGGCGGATTCTTAACCCCTGCACCACCAGGGAAGTCCTGCACCCCAGTATTTTTTGAAAATATTTTTAGTAAAAAGGCATTTGGTACAGTTTAATATTTTTGTGGTGTGAACGAGTTGGTTGGTGGCTTGTAGCATAAACCAAACCAAAATTGCCGTAAACCAAAATTGGAATCGTTTGAAGAATGTCCCCAAAATGTCTCATCAGCAGTAGCAGTAGAGTTTGAGAAAACGTCACTGATGACATCAAAGTATCAAGCCATTGACTTCATGAGACAGAGAACAAGAATGAGACATTGTGGGCTCTGGAGTCAGACTACCTGGGTTTAAATCCAACTTTGACCATTTAGTGACTCTGTGGCCTTTGAACAAATTACTTAGCCTATCACTGACTTTTTCCCCCCTCCCTGTAAAAATGGTAAATACAATAATACCTACTGCATAAAGTTTTTGTGAGGACTAAAGAGTTATTATATGTAAAGCACTGAGAATAGTACTCAGCAATATGTTAAATGCAATGTTAGCTGCTATTCTTATTTATAAAGGAATAGGTATAGGTATATCTTTGCCTGTTAGACTCTACAGTATTTATTTTAACAGCTTTTTTTCACATGGCCCCATTTCAGACTATATGATCTCACGTTTTAGAAGGAACATGAGATATGCTGTTCAAGGACTCCATTACCTCTGCTTATGGTCACGGGTGATGCTTAGGTTCCACATAGTCATTGTGTGCATTGGATGTGTGTAACAATTCTTCATAAAGAATAATAACCAGTAACATTCGGCATATTAATTCCTGTGCCGAGGTACCACCTTAACTCTATTTTATTAAGCTTATTGAAAGAGAGCGTCACCATATAATATGAATTTTCAGAAACAAAAGCTCTTCATTCCCAAAGGGTGAGTGATAAGTAATAGTATTTGCTTTAGCAAATGCAGGTAAACTGGTGTATGTTTTGACTTTAGGGAAATTAATCTGCAGACTTTCCTGCAGAAAACAGAAGAAGACTAAAGCCTTACATCCAGAAGGGTGATAAGAGAATAAAACAATGAGAACCAAATCTCAGCCCAGAATAAAACATGGACAACCAACTTTCAAACTTTGCTTGATGATAATCTCATTTCAAGAGATGGTTAGAAGGGATAAAAGTTTAGTATCTTCTTCATAATGTTTTGACAATCCTGAAGTTTCAGTCATGTAAACTTTCTGTCTCCTGTGTACTACCCTTTGAAGACTTTTATGCTATATGACAATAGAGTTTATCTGTTGACCATGTGCTATTGTAGACAATACTGGAAGAATGAAATGTATTGTTAGAAGGAAATGGCAAGGCCGGATTGATGTTTGAGAAACTGTAGGCACAAATGTCATGGCACCTTAATCAGGATTCTTTATAAGGTTTTGGACCCATTCTTCTCAGTCTTAGGGCTTCTAATCATTCTTGGTTTTATATCCACAAGTGAGGTCTGAGAATTCTCTCTCCTTAAGTGAAAAGTTTTTAAAAGCCAAGAATATGACTCTACTCTCTAATTTTGTTACTATTGTTGCACTCAGTTTTCTGAATTCCTTCATCAGAGCTCTTTCTCATAGCCAAGTTTGTCCTAAAAGCCTCATAAATTGAAGGAAACAATCTTCAGGATTTAGTCTGAAAATTAGAGGCAATATTAACACTTTTCAACAGCATCAAGTAAGTTTTGAAAGCTATGCAGTGCATCGCATTCCAAACTATTCTACCAAATACTCTAATCTTGTTCTGTGTTACTGGAAGTTGCCTACGCCCTAAGCATCTCCTATGTCATTTAAGTTACTTTCATATTTAATGAAACCATCTAAAATCTGAAGCAAAGGAATTGGAGTTCCAATTCCAGCAGTTGAGAGCTCACTCAGTTGTAGATGGGCAAAATATCAGAAAGGTTTTCTTTTTTAAAATACTGTTTATCAAGTTTTAGAATCAGGTTTTACAACTCTGGAATCTGATTTACAAAAATGGTTTGTAGATATCCATTTTAAAGACTATGGGTAATCAACATTTTTTAAGGAACAGTCAACATTGTTCATTAGTTTCTCAATCATTAAAATCACCATAGGACAAAATTACTTTTTTTTCCCCCTGAGACACTTCCCTTTGTGGCACTTAATATGACATTCTCCTGGCATTCTCTGTTGTTTCATTCCAAATCCACACACAACACAACTGGCCTCGTCACGTTTTGAATCAGATTTTGGAAAGCCCAGAGGGAGAAACCAGATACTACATTCATTTTATTCTAGACAGATGGCTCTCGATAGGAATTTCCACTGAGGTATGGTTCATGAAACAACAGTAGATACTGTTCTCTCATTGAATAGCAAAACAAAGCAGTTTACAGTAAAAGTTCACAGATATCCCAGCCTCACGCAGTGAGACAAGAGCCCACTTCCAACTTCTCACACTAGGAGATCCTTCTGGCCCTGTCAATTTTGACAAAAGCCAAGATCCCATCTGCTCTGAGAAAGCTTTGGAGGCTCATGCAAAGCTCAGCTGGTTGTTACTCAGGGATAAAATTCAAACTAATGGACCTTCCTCCACTTTTTAATTATTTTTTTGTAAATAGAGTCATATCTATGTTTTATCCTTTGGCAGGATTTTTGCTTTTACTCATTACTGTGTGCTTAGTAGTGTTCTAAAAATGATATAGTGCCACATCAACAGCAAATGAAATAAAACATATGTGTGGCCAAGCACTGCTTTGCAAACCGTAGACTACCCCTCTCAATCATGCTACCTGTCAAGTATCAAACCTGAGTATTGACATCAACTGAAAGACCTCATTTACCTGTCACGTGATTTGGATTTGTTAAGCCCAGAGAGGAAGCCTAGGGTGATTAAATGCAAACGTTGACACCATAGTAATCTTTCTTGCCCTTTGCAGTAAATTGCCCCATGGTTAATATAGAGAAAAATTTTTAATTACTCAGAATGTTATATATGGATCTTAAGGATTAAATATCATCAGCTGGACTGGTATTATGCATGGAGCAGTATTCATTCAGAAGGTACTTACTGAGTGGCTACTCTGTGGCAGGCACTGTACTAGGTACTTATCCTCAGAACCTAAGGCAGTTCAGTGTATGGTTTAGAGACAGAGAGTTCTAATTACATTTCTGTCATTTACTAGCTCCTTTATTCATTTTTTTTATTTTTTGGAAATTAATCTTTCTTTGGCATAGTTTCTTCAGCTGTAGAATATAAATAATAACAGTAACCAACTCATAGGGTTGTTGTGAGAGTTAAATGAGTTGAGAGGAAGCATGTATGCAAGCGCAGCTGTTAGAACAGTGCTCAGGAAGCTCAGCTGCTCTCATTATTGTCATTATTATGAGAAGGAGAAAGAGTCTTATATTGGTCCACTCTGTGTCTGCAAGTTCTACCATTCGTAATTTCTTTGGCTTAAGAAAGTACACGTGGGGCTTCCCTGGTGACGCAGTCGTTGAAAGTCCGCCTGCCGATGCAGGGAACACGGGTCCGTGCCCTGGTCCGGGAAGATCCCACATGTCGCGGAGCGGCTGGGCCCGTGAGCCATGGCCGCTGAGCCTGCGCATCCGGAGCCCGTGCTCCGCAACGGGAGAGGCCACGACGGTGAGAGGCCCACATACCGCAAAAAAAATAAAAAAAAGAAAGTACATGTGTTATCCAGCAGCCTAATACATCAACAGCTATTGATACCAAAACATAAACTGATTATTAGGGTTACCCCAAAAGAAAGCACATCCCTAAGGCTCTGGGACTGAGGGCAGTGTTGTTTTTATGAGAGTGAGAAGTTTATTAATGAAAGGAGGAAACACATTAGGGTTCATTACCACGGTGGGCATTGTGGTCGTCCGAAAGACAGTACAAGGTCTTGCATCCCTGGCTAGGGATAATTGACAAGTGGGTGGAGGGGCCCTGAATATAAGACTCTCAAGTTTTCCCAAGGCCAGCCTTGGCCTTAAGTGATATCTTTCTGCTATTAAAATGTGAACATGGAGAATAGGATCTGCAAGAAAAAATATGCTTAGCAGTTAACAAGCATACACAGACTGCCTGGGTTCAAAACCTGAATATGCCACTTAATAGTAGTGTAACCTTGAGCATATTCCTTAACTGACCTTTGACATCCATAAAACGAGCATGATAAAATTTTATGGGGCTGCTGACAATTAAATTAGACCTAGAAACAATGTCTGACAGAAAAAAGTCAGTAAATATGCCTCTATCATTGTTATTGTACTTTGCTATTATTGGAGCTGCTTTGTTTTAATTATTTAGTTTCTTTCCAAAGGCTTAACTTGATTTTGCTTGTGCTGTGTGGGCCTTTGGCTGAATTTGAAGTTCAAGTTCCAAATCTTTTTTAGCCTCATTTTGTTATAGTTTCAGTATTCAACCAGTGATCTCAATCGTACCAATATAAAATTAGTTTGTTGATGAAGTAGCAAATTTGAAAGCAAAGTTATTTTCTTGGTTCCATGTCTAGTTGAAATTCTAGCACTAGAATTTGGGCAGATCTCCTTGTATTTTAGTCCCTATCTGCAAAATTTAAAATACTATCTAACTTAGTTTCATTTACAAATTACATATAGCATGTGAAAACCGCCCCTCGGGTTCCTAAAATTCAGACTTTTTTAAGGAGTTAAGTTGATGATTAACCTAATCAGATTCCATTTGCTCATAACATTTAAGAATTCAGTTTTTGATATCATGAATGCCAAAGTTTTAAAGAACTGCTGGGTAATCCTAAATTGCTCCACTGAGCAGATTAACAATTACTATTAGTATCATTTTAAATATGTGCAAAAGTATTGGTGTAGGGACAATAAAACTTCATAAACGGAGGTAACTACAACTGGAGATGTAGGAAAATTGACCTGAGTTGAGTCCTGTGTTCACAGTGTATAATGGAAGAATTTTCTAAGCAAAATGATAGTATTCTCTCTTTGGTCTTCACCTATTGTTAGAAAAGTTTCTGAAACCCATTTACTCTATAATGAATATATTTGTTAATTGCTTAAAGTGTTATACCTCCATTAAGATAGTTATAGTTTATCACCAAGTATGAAGCTCAAGGAACGAAGCTCAGATTGTGAAATTCCAGCTGCCGTCCAGTGGGAATGGTAGGTATGTTTTGGACAGAGGAATCTTTTAAGTAGCCTTAAGTGCATCAGGTAGATGCCTCGTCCCCAAAGCCTAGTTCATCTGATTTCAGTCTAGATGCTACTGTCTACACATCACACACATCACACTTTAGAACGGAAGTGGCAGATATATTTTAGCTCATTTGGCAATAGTTGATTGTCAGTAATTACATGAATTTCGGTTGAGAAGAGTTCTGAGACCCAGTCCAAATTAGCAGAAAAGAGTATGTGATTTATTAACACTGAATGAAGGAAAGGGAGCAGCAGCATTTGTGTAAAGTATTTATAATCCTGATTCTAATCCTGAACCTTGAATTCACCGAGGGCATAGACTGTGTCTTACTCATTTTTGTACCACTAGTGCCCAACATGGAACACTCTGGCTTTTAATAAATTTTTATTAAAATTTTATATTTTAATAAATATAAAGTTATGAATTCATATTCATAAAATACTTTGCACTGTATATACACATACTTTTTTTCTCTGAGAGATCTTAATTGTAATTATCTTTCATGTTAAAAAAAAAAGATACAAGCACAGAAATGAAGAATGACTTGTACCATCATCTGAGAGCAAATGGACTGAAAACCTGTGACTAGAATCCACTGCTTCTCATTCTGTCAGTCCTGGTCCTAGTCTAGTCCTAGTCTCTTTGGCCAAGAGCTTTCGGATTGCTATGAAGGAGATCTTACACATACTAACCAATTTTTTTTTCATACTTTCCCAAGGTCTGTCGAGTTGCTTATGAAATCATGCAGACACTGCATCCCGATGCCTCTGCAAACTTCCATTCTTTGGATGACATCTACTATTTTGGAGGTCAAAATGCCCACAACCAGATTGCCATTTATCCTCACCAACCTCGAACTGCAGATGAAATCCCCATGGAACCTGGAGATATCATTGGTGTGGCTGGAAATCATTGGGATGGCTATTCTAAAGGTGTCAACAGAAAACTGGGAAGGACGGGCCTATATCCCTCCTACAAAGTTCGAGAGAAGATAGAAACAGTCAAGTACCCCACATATCCTGAGGCTGAGAAATAAAGCTTAGATGGATGAGAAAGACAACCAAACTCAGTTCAAACCGTTTGAGCCAAACAGTAGATGAAGAAGGCCCCAACCTAACAACTCATGGTTAAATGAGTCAACACCCCCAGCGCCAGGAGCAGCTGGGATCTGACAGATGCTACATTGGTGGAATTCCTCTTTAACAAGGGCTACCGTGCCCTCAAAACCATGCACAGTCCGATAATGTACTCACATATAACATACAAACAGGTTGTTTTCTACTTTGCCCGTTCTTTCAAGATTATGTCCCCATGAAACAAACACTGCCACATTGTGTAATTTAAGTGACACAGACATTTTGTGTGAGACTTCAAACATGGTGCCTATATCTGAGAGACCTATGTGACCTAACGAGATGACTCAAATAGCTCCCTCCTGCGGGGAGCTTGATTCTTAGCCAGTGGTGGTATTGTAACCACTGAATTCACTCCAATCAACAGATTCAAAATGAGAATGGATGTTTTTGTCTGGAATTTTTTTTTGAGTAATTGTACCAGTTCATCCACCTCATCATTAATAAGTGAAGGATACAACAGAAAATAAAATATTCATACTCCATTAGGAACTTTTGTAAAACAATACCATGAACAGATTCTTTAGTACTCAATGTTTCCGGACATTCTCTTTGATAACAAAAAATAAATTTTAAAAAGGAATTTTGTAAAGTTTCTAGAATTTTATATCATTAGATGATGATGTGGCCAGCTGTATAGTGGAAAATGTTGATAAAAAGAGTTTTATAGTTCTGCTTTACTTTTTTTTTTTTTTTTTTCTGTTTCAGATTGAGTGGCTTAGCTCAGAGAGTCCTTGGTCCATTTTAACACTGAAAACTGAGTTTAGTTGGTGCACATTACAGAGTTGCTCAGAACCATCTTAGGGAAATTTTATTTTATTATTTTGGACATTGTTTATTTGATTTAATTGAATCAAATAATCATACTCCTCAGTGCCAGAGGAACTATCCCCTCCACTCCCAAGCTAACAATTTCAGGCTTGTTCTTTCTTATTGTGGCTATTGTCACTTTTTGTGAGTTGAGACCTGTTGTTTTATCCAGAAAATGATTTGTGCCCTTTCCTATCATGTCCTGCTTTTGAGAGTACCAGGAATCTGTGGGGTTGGGAAGCTGGCTCTGTTTCCTTTTTTTTTTTTTTTTTTTTTACTTTATTTATTTATTTACTTTTGGCAGCATTGGGTCTTCATTGCTGTGCGCAGGCTGTCTCTATTTGCGGCAAGCGGGGGCTACTCTTTGTTGCGGTACACAGGCTTCTCATTGCGGTGGCTTCTCTTGTTGCAGAGCACAGGCTCCAAGTGCGTGGGCTTCAGTAGTTGTGGCGCACAGGCTCAGTAGTTGTGGCTTGAGGGCTCTAGAGCGCAGGCTCAGTAGTTGTGGTGCACGGGCTTAGTTGCTCCCTGGCATGTGGGATCTTCCCAGACCAGGGCTCGAACCCATGTCCCTTGCACTGGCAGGTGGATTCTTAACCACTGCCCCACGAGGGAGGTCCCTGGCTCTTCTGAAGTATGCATCTCATACTACATAGAGTTTGGTGAACAAAGGAGAGAGGAACCAGTATGAGACCCAAAATGGACTTGGGAATAACTCTTCCAAATACTTCCTTTTAGTAATTCCACATCAGAATCACTTTGGACGACAAGACTTTGATGCTCTCTCTGCTTTCTCTCTAAACATCACTTTTCTCCTTATAAGAACACTTCCTCTTTTCTGTAGCCTGCCTCTTTTAGATGCCTGGTAGGAGTATTTCATAGCATTGTTTTACCTTCTGAAAGAAAAATTTGATCCAGGTAAGAACCAGTAGCAGGCCTGGTATTAAATATCAGGAATCCTAGACAGAAAAGCCCTGTTCTTCACATCATCTCTAAATGAAAATACCTGTATGTAAAATATCCCCACCAAACTTCCCTATATTCTTTCTACCTCTCCATTCAGGTCTCCCAGAACTAACCATCTAGTGTCAGTAAGCAATTTTCAATTTAGTTTTGGTACAAATAAGTCGTTTGAAACAAAAATCTCCAACTAAGCAGAGGTACTTTTGAATATGAGTTATTTTTCTAATTCTCATCTCACTTGTCATCAGAACATCAGTAACCATGGGTTTTTATTTCCTCTGCTGAGATTTCCTGTTTTTATTCGTTACAAGCATGTTTTCCATTACTTTTTTGAACATCATTATAATAAATGCTTTAAAATCCTTTTCTGCTAAATCTAATATCTGAATCATCTCAAAGTTGGTCTCTATTTGTCTTTTCTCTAGAAAAAGAATCACAGTTTTCTGGTTATTCAAATGTTGAGTAAATTTAGATTGTATCCTGCATGTTATAAATGTTAATGTTGTGGATTCTGTTATATTCCTCTGAAGAGTGCTGATGTTTTTTGTCTGTGTTAGCAGGCGTTTAACTTCATTGAACTCAAACTGTAAACTGTGTCTTGGGTAACAGCGCAAATCCCAATTATTTTATCGTTAGCTGGAGCCTGCCCCACACATGTATGGTTCAGGAGTCAGCTAGAGATTTGGGTAGATTTTACACACAGAATTTGGAGCTCTCTTTTTTTGCCTTTCTATCTTCTGAGATTTCCATCCTCACTTTCCAGCAGCTGTGGTTGCTCTGATTCTGTGGTGTCCTCTGTTTCTTCAGGCAGAAAGACAGCAGTTTTCTATCAGCCTAAAAGCCATAAAAATGAGAAACTCACCTTGTACCCTTCCCTTCTAAGTTTCAGCCTCTTTCCAGAATTCACCTGCTTTTTTTGTTCAGTATCCAATGACTTTGGGTAGCTTTTTTGTATTTTGTCAAAAGTTGATCATTGTTATCCATTGGAAGATCTGTTCAGTAGGTGCTTAAACTCTGTCATACAGGAAGTGAAACTCTGAAGCAGAGAGTTAAAATGAAAAAGTATGGTGGGGGAGGGAAGGGTCTCTGTTTAGATTCTGACCTTAATAGCTAAGCAGCCAGTGGCTTTAAGCAGGAAGGAAAAATGAAGAACTAACCAAATTGTTAAACCTGCAGGTGTGAAGGGCTAATGAATACTGCTGACCATTTCCTTCTGAAAAGCTTTTCTGAGGCACTTTTTTGCAAATCATCAAGTACATGCTATACAGGCTGCCTTGTTGGGAGGACTGACATTTCTTCACCACTGTTATACTTTCACCATGAGGGCCTGGTACTTTAAAACCCTACATGGTTTTGAATTGCGTGTAAAACTCTACATGGTTTTAAATTTGTGACCAGTGCTAGATTAGGAAGATTTGGGTCTTTTCCTTGTTACAAGACCCATTTGTGAAAGAGCCTTACCTAGAAAACAAAGTTATTAGCCTGGGCTCATAGAATGTGGATACCGCCATCCTGCATACTAATGACAAAACAGTTACAAAAGTTCTTTCTGGTCCTATCACTCAAGTCTGATTTAGTGCTTAGCTGAACTTAAAGAGTTCATGCCTGTTGTCAAAGGGCTCTCAGCCCTAATTCAGGGTTTCTTTGTGTCCCAGGTGAATGAGACTAGTTGCTTCCCTCTCTGAGCTTTAGTTTTTTTCTATCATATAGAGCCTAACCTGTTTCCTGGGTTCCCTCTTTAGAAAGTTGAGAACATGAATGGCCTCAGCTTCCGAGGGGCTTGAGAGTTAAAAAAGAAAAACCACATCTAAAAAGCTATCTCATAGAGTGATTGTCATCATCCTTTAGCTAGAGAGACTGTAATCACTGTATATTCAGTAAGCAGGAAAAGTACTGGAGTCTAAATGGTGCCTCTATAAGAATCTCCTCTGCCTCAATGAGAATAAATCTCTCTTACTTAAGGTGCAATAGACATGTCCACTTTGACCATAGCCAACCACCTGATTTTTCATTTGTGCTCCTGGGAGGCTGTACAATAGCCAGGATCAGTAGACTCATATAGAATAGATGTGTGGCTTAGGGGTTGACAGTTTGGGGACTGGGCTTTAACACCCTAATTTATGCCAGATACAGACTCTAGGGAATTTTTTAAGTGCCATGCCGAGAAGGAAGCACAAAGGAGAATTTGCCTCTACACTTACTTGTTCCTGATGACAGTCTCCCTTTTGGAAACATGGAGGGAGCTGTTCCAGGATCCTTGGAAGGGAAGAGGCAGGCCGTGGCAAGCTCTTTGGTTTCAACTTTCATTGATACTATGCATGTTTGAGCACTTGCCCCTCGACAGTGCATCCACTTTTGGTTCTTTATACAAGTAAGAAGCTCTGACTCTGAGTACTTGCTTAGCTGTTCAGCCTTGCCATCTGCGGTCCAGTTCAGTTGCCACCTGCTTTCTCCTTTCCTTATTCTTTTTTTTTTTTTAATATTACATATTTTTAACATCTTTATTGGAGTATAATTGCTTTACAATGTTGTCTTAGTTTCTGCTGTATAACAAAGTAAATCAGCCATACATATATCCCCATATCCCCTCCCCCTTGTGTCTCCCTCCCACCCCTCTATGTGGTCACAAAGCACCAAGCTGATCTCCCTGTGCTATGCAGCTGCTTCCTACTAGCTATCTATTTTACATTTGGTAGTGTATATATGTCAGTGCTACTCTCTCATTTCATCCCAGCTTACCCTTCCCCGTCCCCATCCCCATGTCCTCAACTCCATTCTCTACATCTGCATCTTTATTCCTGTCCTGCCCCTAGGTTCATGAGAACCATTTTATTTTATTTTTTTAGATTCCATATATATGTGTTAGCATACGGTATTTGTTTTTCTCTTTCTGACTGACTTCACTCTGTATGACAGACTCTAGGTCCATCCACCTCACTAAAAATAATTCAATTTCATTTCTTTTTATGGCTGAATAATATTCCATTGTATATATGTGCCACATCTTCTTTATCCATTCATCTGTCGATGGACACCTAGGTTGCTTCCATGTCCTGGCTATTGTAAATAGTGCTGCAGTGAAAACTGTGGTACATGACTCTTTTTGAATTATGGTTTTCTCAGGGTATATGCTCAGTAGTGGGATTGCTGAGTCATATGGTAGTTCTATTTTTAGTTGTTTAAGGAACCTCCATACTGTTCTCCATAGCAGCTGTATCAATTTACATTCCCACCAACAGTGCAAGAGGGTTCCCTTTTCTCCACACCCTCTCTAGCATTTATTGTTTGTAGATTTTTGATGGTGGCCATTCTGAACACTGTGAGGTGATACCTCATTGTAGTTTTGATTTGCATTTCTCCAATGATTAGTGATGCTGAGCATCCTTACACATTGCCAACAATGTGTTTGTTGGCAATCTGTATATCTTCTTTGGAGAAATGTCTATTTAGATCTTCTGCCCATTTTTGGATTGGGTTGTTTGTTTTTTTGATATTGAGCTGTGTGAGCTGCTTGTATATTTTGGAGATTAATCCTGTGTCAGTTGCTTCGTTTGCAGATATTTTCTCCCATTCTGAGGGTTGCCTTTTTGTTTTGTTTATGGTTTCTTTTTCTGTGCAAAAGCTTTTAAGTTTCATTAGGTCCCATTTGTTTATTTTTGTTTTTATTTCCATTTCTCTAGGAGGTGGGTCAAAAAGAACCTTGCTGTGATTTATGTCAAAGAGTGTTCTTGCTATGTTTTCCTCTAAGTTTTATACTGTGTGGCCTTACATTTAGGTCTTTAATCCATTTTCAGTTTATTTTCGTATATG